TGCACCTAGAAGCTGGAGAGGCTTGTTCTCTGGATTTAGGAAGCAACCGTCGCCCAGGGCACCTGGTTGTGTGCCAGAGGAACTCCCTCGTGGCCGCCGCTTCGGTTGCCCAACTGTACTCTCTCACTGTGCAGACTGATCCGTGAGGGATTAGCCTTGCGTTGTAGACTTGGAACACGTTTGACTGGGGTCGGGCGGCTTTCAAACCTAGAGTTTCCTCCCAAGCTCCACTTTGTTGGCACATTCCTGACTTTCTCAGCTGGCATTTTGCAAGGAGCAGAGAGACTAAGGTCCATCCTTTGCGTGCCTGACGCACTCCCCCTCCAGCCAGCTTGTTTTCTTGTGTCAGCGTGCACAATGAACAATTAGGGAGGGTTTATTGACTTGCTAGGAATATTAGTATTGAGTTAGATATTTATTTATTTGGTTTACTTTTACCCCGCCCTTCTCACCCCGAAGGGGACTCAGGGCGGCTTACATATCCAAGGCACAATTCGATGCCCGTAACATACAACAGCAATAAAACAGAATAGCACAAATTAGCAATCGACAACAATACATTACATCTATACCTGCTAAAACCAATAAAACCAATAAAATTTAATACAAACTGATACAAACCAATTACTCCTTATTGCCAGTCAATGTTCGCTATCTCATAGTCCAGAATTTCCAATCCACATTTGTCAGTCCTTTCAGTCCTATCCATCTGGTTGTCCATATCTAGTTGTCAGATTGCCCAAAGGCCTGGTCCCACAACCACATCTTTACCTTCCTCCTGAAGGAGAGGAGTATGTCGATGCCCTGATATCCACTGGGAGTGAGTTTCACAGGTGAGGGGCCACCATTGAGAAGGCCCTGCTCCTTGTCCCCACCAGCCTCGCTTGGGAAAGCGGTGGGGTCGAGAGCAGGGCCCCCTCAGATGATCTTAAATTCCATGGTGGGACGTAGAGGGAGATATGTTCTGACAGATATGCTGGACTGGAACCGTACAGGGTTTTGTAGGTCAAAACCAGCACCTTGAATTGGGCTCGGAACTGAACCGGCAGCCAGTGGAACTGACACAGCAGAGGGGTGGTGTGCTCTCTGTATGTCGCCCCGGTGAGCAGCCTGGCTGCCACTCGCTGGACCAGTTGAAGTTTCCGAACCGTCTTCAAGGGCAACCCCACATAGAGTGTGTTGCAGTAGTCTATTCGGGATGTAACAAGAGCGTGGACCACTGTGGCCAGATCAGACTTCCCAGGGTAGGAGGTGTTTAATTTTACATTTTGGTGGGGAAGTGGGAGAGGAACAAGGGAATAACATGTCAGTGTCCCTTATTATTTATTATTTATTTATTTATTACTGCGCTTGTATATCGCCGTTTCTCAGCCTACATTGGCGACTCAACGCGGTTTACAACATTACAATAATCAACAATATCCAAGATAAAAAGCATAAAAAAGCATAAAAACACATACATAATATACAATATTGGGCCACCAATATCGAACCAATGCATCTCTTAGTTAAAAACGCAGTCCAATTTCATCGTCTGTGATTACCAGTCCTTGATCGTCAGATTCGTTGCACCGTGTTAACCGAATGCTTGTTCGAACATCCATGTCTTCAGTCTTTTTCGAAACGCCACCAGCGAGGGGGCTGATCTTACCTCTATGGGGAGGGCGTTCCAAAGCCGAGGGGCTACCACAGAAAAGGCCCTGTCTCTCATCCCCGCCAGCCGCACCTGTGAAGCAGGCGGGATAGAGAGCAGGGCCTCCCCAGAAGATCTTAGGGTCCTGGTGGGCTGATAGGCCGAGATACGTTCGGATAGATAAGTTGGGCCAGAACCGTTTAGGGCTTTAAAGGCCAGCGCCAGCACTTTGAATTGGGCCCGGTAGCAAATCGGCAGCCAATGGAGCTGGTACAGCAGAGGAGTTGTATGCTCCCTGCGCCCTGCTCCTGTTAGTAACATGGCTGCCGCCCGTTGGACTAATTGGAGCTTCCGAGCCGTCTTCAAAGGCAACCCCACGTAGAGAGCGTTGCAGTAGTCAAGACGGGATGTAACCAGAGCGTGGACTACCGTGGCCAAGTCAGACTTCCCAAGGTACGGTCGCAGTTGGCGCACAAGTTTTAACTGTGCGAAAGCTCCCCTGGTCACCGCCGAAACCTGGGGTTCCAGGCTCAGCGATGAGTCCAGGATCACACCCAAACTGCCCTTCACCCAGTCAGCACTACAGCAGATGTATACTTTGCCCAGAGTAGCCAAAACTACTAGGATGGGTGACTAAAACGATCAAGGGCCTGGAGAACAAGCCCTATGTGGAGCGGCTTAAAGAACTGGGCATGTTTAGCCTGAAGAAGAGAAGGCTGAGAGGAGACATGATAGCCATGTAAATATGTGAGAGGAAGTCATAGGGAGGAGGGAACAAGCTTGTTTTCTGCTTCCCTGGAGACTAGGACGCAATGGAACAATGGCTTCAAACTACAAGAAAGGAGATTCCACCTGAACATTAGGAAGAACTTCCTGACTGTGAGAGCTGTTCAGCAGTGGAACTCTCTGCCCCGGAGTGTGGTGGAGGCTCCTTCTTTGGAAGCTTTTAAACAGAGGCTGGATGGCCATCTGTGGGGGTGCTTTGAATGCAATATTCCTGCTTCTTGGCAGGGGGTTGGACTGGATGGCCCACCAGGTCTCTTCCAACTCTATGATTCTATGTAGGCGAGGTGGTGTTTATTCCTTCCCCCTTTGTGCCCCAAATGTTTGGCTCTATATATGAATGTGGTCTTAGTTACATGGGTGGTAGAGTCCTTGCAGACAATCACGGACCAACGTTAATTTGTGCTCTGCGACCTAAGAAAGGTCTTTTGATCTTCACTAAGAAGCGACGCCCAACATGCTAAAGATGGTCCATGGGAAACCAACCCATCTGAAAGGGATGTAAGACATGAGGATCAAACTGTAAATGTAAGGGTTTGAGATAGATGGATTAATGGCTGGGTGGAGAAGTGGATCAATGGATGGATGGATGGATCAATGGATGGATGGTTGGAGAAGTGAATTCAAAAGTGGATCAATGGATGGATGGAGAAGTGAATGGAAAAGTGGATCAATGGATGGATGGAAAAGTGAATGGAAAAGTGGATCAATGGATGGATGGAGAAGTGAATGGAAAAGTGGATCAATGGGATGGATGGATGGATGGATGGATGGATGGATAGAGAAGTGAATGGAAAGGCGGATCAATGGATGGATGGATGGATGGATGGATGGATGGATGGATGGAGAAGTGAATGGAAAAGTGGATCAATGGATGGAGAAGTGAGTGGAAAAGTGGATCAATGGATGGATGGATGAGAAGTTAATGGAAAAGTGGATCAATGGATGGATGGAGAAGTGAATGGAAAAGCGGATCAATGGATGAATGGAGAAGTGAATGGAAAAGCGGATCAATGGATGGATAGAGAAGTGAATGGAAAAGCGGATCAATGGATGGATAGAGAAGTGAATGGAAAAGCGGATCAATGGATGGATGGATGGATGGATGGATAGAGAACTGAATGGAAAGGCGGATCAATGGATGGATGGATGGATGGATGGATGGATAAGTGAATGGAAAAGTGGATCAATGGATGGAGAAGTGAGTGGAAAAGTGGATCAATGGATGGATGGATGGATGGATGGAGAAGTTAAAGGAAAAGTGGATCAATGGATGGATGGATGGATGGATGGATGGATGGAGAAGTTAATGGAAAAGTGGATCAATGGATGGATGGAGAAGTGAATGGAAAAGCGGATCAATGGATGAATGGAGAAGTGAATGGAAAAGCGGATCAATGGATGGATAGAGAAGTGAATGGAAAAGTGGATCAATGAAGGGATGGAGAAGTGAATGGAAAAGCGGATCAATGGATGAATGGAGAAGTGAATGGAAATGCGGATCAATGGATGGAGAAGTGAGTGGAAAAGTGGATCAATGGATGGATGGAGAAGTTAAAGGAAAAGTGGATCAATGGATGGATGGAGAAGTTAATGGAAAAGTGCATCAATGAATGGATGGAGAAGTGAATGGAAAAGCGGATCAATGGATGAATGGAGAAGTGAATGGAAAAGCGGATCAATGGATGGATAGAGAAGTGAATGGAAAAGCGGATCAATGGATGGATGGATGGATGGCTAGAGAAGTGGAAAGTGGATCAATGGATGGATGGATGAATGGATGATGGATGGAGAAGTGAATGGAAGTGGATCAATGGATGGATGGATGGAGAAGTGAATGGAAAAGCAGATCAATGGATGGATGGATGGAGAAATGAATGGAAAAGTGGATCAATGGATGGATGGAGAAGTGAATGGAAAAGTGGATCAATGGATGGATGGATTCCAGTATGTAAACAAATATATGTTTACATACTGGAATCCTACTTCAGTTCTGCTGGTTGCCAAAAGTCATTCCATGGAGAGAGCAAAGGAAAGGCTAATTAGAAGGTTAGAAAGACTCAGTGAGAAGCAGTCCTTGAAATCCAGATGCCGCAGGGATGAATTGAGCTTAAATTAAGTGACGTTTTCCTGGGCTCTCCAGAGCAGACAACGTTGCCTTAAAATCAAGTTCATGTTCCGCTCTCAAGTTTACCTTTGTTCCCGTTTGAGTTTTGTCTTGGAAAAGTTCTTGTATTCATGCTGATGGATTTATGTCTCTGCTCTTGACTTCGTGGATTTCATGTACCTTGCTTTTTTGGAGTATTGATCGTTGTGCATTTGGACTATTGCTATTACATAGCACCTTTTCTACTGCTTTTTGGGAAAGGTCCATTCCCCCTTTTGTAAATAAACTGCTGTAGTTAGCTACTACTCTGTGTGGTGCTGAGTGAAAAAGTGTTCCTGGCCTCGAGTGTTACAGCCAAGGAATTGGAGAAGTAACGTTTCACTGGCGAGGTTGAAAAGCTTCTAACACTCCCGAGAAGGGGACCAGTCTAATTGACGATCCAAGTAATATATTTATTGCCTCTTCTGCTCCTCACAGCTCCACCCTGACAGCGACCCAGGCAACCCTGACCTGCACAGCCAGTTTGTGAAGCTGAATGAGGCCTACCGGGTGCTGAGTAAGGAGAGCAGTCGGAGGCGATATGACAACATGCGAGGTGCACAGATGGCCTGGACTCCCCCGGGCAGCCACAGCTCCAAGGGCAGCCCGTTTGATTTTGCAGACTTTCGAACCAGGTACCGCCATTCTTCTGAATCCTTTCCATAGAATCATAGATTCATAGAGTTGGGAGAGACCTCATGGGCCATCCAGTCCAACCCCATTCTGCCAAGAAGCAGGAAAATTGCATTTAAAGCACCCCGACAGATGGCCATCCAGCCTCTGTTTAAAAGCTTCCAAAGAAGGAGCCTCCACCACACACCGGGGCAGAGAGTTCCACTACTGAACGGCTCTCACAGTCAGGAAGTTCTTCCTCGAGTTCAGATGTAATCTCCTTTCTTGTAGTTCGAAGCCATTGTTCCATTGCGTCCTAGTCTCCAGGCAGTGGAAAACAGGCTTGCTGCTTCCTCCCTATGACTTCCTCTCACATATTTATGTCAGGATTATTGAGGTATGCATGTGTGTTTTTCAGTGTTTCTATGAGCTTAAATTAAGTGACGTTTTCCTGGGCTCTCCAGAGCAGACAACGTTGCCTTAAAATCAAGTTCATATTCCGCTCTCAAGTTTGCCTTTGTTACTGTTTGAGTTTTGTCTTCGAAAAAATCTTGTATTCATGCTGATAATAATAATAATAATAATAATAATAATAATAATAATCTTTATTTATATCCCGCTAACATCTCCCGAAGGACTCGGTGCGGCTTACAAGAGGCCAAGGCCCAACACATCAATAAAACAACAGCATAACAAATACAACAATAAATAAACTCATAAAACAAAGCAATAAACATTAAAACAATAGCAATAAACATTAGACAATAACACCATAAGTCATTTGGTTATGAGATTCCATGTGCGATGGGCATGACACTGACAAATGGACACAGGATGAAATGGCAGGGACTGCATGGTTTTATCGCCATGCAATGAATAATAATAATAATAATAATAATAATAATAATAATAATAATAATAAATTTTTGTCATGTCAGGAGTGACTTGAGGAACTGCAAGTTGCTTCTGGTGTGAGATAGTGGGAAATGTCAGGATTATTGAGGTATGCATGTGTGTTTTTCAATGTGTTTCTATGTAATTCAAGATGGATTAAGATGTGTTTCAAGATGGATTCTATTATGTTTAATTGTGTATTAGAAATACTGTGAGAAGCAGAGAAAAAGTAACCTTGACAGTAGCGAGATAACGTGTTCTCTGGCTGTGGGAAGAAGGAGGAGGATCCTGTTACAGCCAGAGGTCTGATAAGCAGATGTTCTGAAACTGTTTATGCTGTGCTTTGTAGTTCCTGATTATCACCTGCTAAGAATGGACGTGTGTAGATGTGCTTAGTAAACTTTGTGTTATTTTGCAACTGTAAGACTGCAGAGTCCTGATTTTTGGAGTCCTGTGTCTGTTGATCTAGCAACCTCTTCCGCTGCGCATATACCCCCAAATTTCTCTGACAATTTATACATGGCCGTCATGTCTCCTCTCAGCCTTCTCTTCTTCAGGCCAAACATGCCCAGCTCTTTAAGCCACTCCTCATAGGGCTTGTTCTCCAGACCCTTGATCATTGTAGTCACCCTCCTCTGGACACATTCCGGCTTGTCAATATCTCTCTTCAATTGTGGTGCCCAGAATTGGACACAATTTATAGACCCCTGGCCGGTGACACTTTATTGCTTGGCCATTAGGCATATTTATACCTTCACTTTCTATTATTATTATTATTATTATTATTATTATTATTATTATTATTATTGGAGCCCCCGGTGGCGCAGTGGGTTAAACACGTGTGCCGGTTCGGCAGGTCCCAGGTTCGAATCCGGGGAGAGGCGGATGAGCTCCCTCTATCAGCTCCAGCTCCTCATGCGGGGACATGAGAGAAGCCTCCCACAAGGAAGATAAAACATCAAATCATCTGGGCGTCCCTTGGGCAACGTCCTTGCAGACGGCCAATTCTCTCACACCAGAAGCGACTCAGGTACAAGAAAGGAGATTCCATCTGAACATGAGGAAGAACTTCCTGACTGTGATAGCCGTTCAGCAGTGGAACTCTCTGCCCTGGAGTGTGGTGGAGGCTCCTTCTTTGGAAGCTTTTAAACAGAGGCTGGATGGCCATCTGTCAGGGTGATTTGAATGCAATATTCCTGCTTCTTGGCAGACTGAGGTTGGACTGGATGGCCCATGAAGTCTCTCCCAACTCCTTGCCGACGGCCAATTCTCTCACACCAGAAGCGACTTGCAGTTTCTCAAGTGGCTCCTGACATGACAAAAATTATTATTATTATTATTATTATTATTATTATTATTATTATTATTATTCATTGCATGGCGATAAAAGCATGCAGTCCCTGCCATTTGATCCTGTGTCCATTTGTCAGTGTCATGCCCATCACACATGGAATGTCATAAAAATGACTTATGGTTATGACAGTTAGGCAGAGTAAAGTGGCTGCCTGGCATGGGTTCAGGAGTCACTGCCATTCTTCTGAATCCTTTGGCTATTAGCCTTCCTTGGAAAACAGCTGTATCTGGACCAAAGCCTCATCTATATCCCTACATGTAGACTACTGCTGTCAGTGGTGGAAAAGAACACAGTCCCATTGCCAGGCTGAAGTGCAGCTCAATTGCCAAGGCAGTTGTAGTGAAATTGCTACTCTATGTTAAATTTTTGGTGTATAGCTCTATGTTTACATATAGCAGATAGGGAAGAATAGGCACAGACAGGGTAGCAACAGCAGAGATAGGATTCATTTGTATATGGAAGCCAATTGGTCATATGCAGATTAGCGTAGGCCCAGGATTTGAACAGGTTGCTAGGCCAAAATGACAGTTGGGAAGAGCAGAGCTAAACATTCCAAAGGGGCGGAGCCAAGGTTTAAAAAATAGGCAGTTAGAGAGTCAAAAGAATGAGTTAGGAATTGCTGTTTGTGAGGGGAATTAGGGATTCCTGTTTGTGAGAGACAGTTAGGAACTTCTCTGAGAGAAAAGAGTTAGGAACTCCTGTTAGAAAAAGCAGTTATGAAGATGTGTTAAAGACTTCCGATATATAGAAGCAGTTAGTTAAATAGAGCTCAAGTTTTAGGAACATAAAGAAAGCCAGTGGTGCTTTAGTCAGAAAATAATTTCAATCGAGAGTGTGTAAAGCAAGTAACATGTTTGTGAATGTGAAACATTGAAAGTCTATTTCAGAAAAGTAAACTAAGTATATGATACTGACGGTAAGCCTCAAGATTGCAACAAAACACAAATGTAACCACGAGCGTTGGAGCCAGAAGTTATAAATAAACTGTGTTACTTTGTTATACAGAAGTGTGTCTCAGTGCCTGTACAAAGGTTAAACAGTACACAGAAAGTCCCAGCTAATATAAAAGAAGAAACTGAATCAGTATAAGAGCAAAGAGGGTTTTTTTTCTTAAATAAAGAAATAGTCTCCCTCCCTCGCTACAGCAGTCATACAAGGGATGGTAATCTTCTTTGCCTGGTTCCTTCCTTAAGCAGCGGACCCAGCAGTGGGCATCAATTCCCTTGCTTTGTCCCATCTTTGCTGTGATGCCTTTGCTTTCTTTCAGGAGCCGGCCAGAGCCCAACGAGAACGTGAGGTATTGGCAGCAGTTCCATCAGCCTCCTGTGGAGCCCATCTCGAGGCCCGAGGCCAAGAAGAGGTTCCGCCGAAACCAGCGGCTCTTTGGCTACTGCCTGCTCATCATGCTGGGCAGCCTGACCGTTCATTATGTAGGATTCAGGTAGGGACCTTTTCCTTCCTCTCTCCCAGGTGACAAGAAAGGGGCACCAAAATAAATCGGGAGGTTGGTTCATCCTGGCAATATACTATTATGTACACATACAAGAATGTACACCCAGAGGAAAATGTAAATGATGATGATGATGACGATGATTACAAGGGTTGAATGAAAAGTAATGCCTCCACCATCGTTACTTGGATTTGGATGGGAATATTTTAATAAATCAAACGCAGAAATAATCCTTAGAATGTGCTCTTTAACTACCACTATTCACTTTTCCACATAATCACCAGACAATTGGATACATTTCTGCCAACGATGAACATTTTTTTTTGAAGCAGTCGCGGAAGAAGTCGATACTCTGTTTCTGCAACCAGCGCCTCACAGTTCTCTCATCCTGGGTACCCATCGTGCACAGATCTTCCGATAGCCAAGTAAAGTGATAATGTGACCCACATGTTCTTGTGAAATGCCAATTATGCTTGAAATTAATAATAATATAATAATAAAACTTTATTTATACCCCACCACCATCTCCCCGAGGGGACTCGGAGCGGCTTACATGAGGCCAAGCCTGACAACACAGCAATAAAAGAAAAAGCAATAAGCAAATAAAACGATACAATTAGTATAAATCACATATAAACAATAACACGCAAGGATTTAAAAACCTATGGCGGGGCCAAATTTAATAGTTTAAAAATTTAAAAATAAACGCTGGGCATGAACAGAGGTAGGATGTATCTGGTAAGAGGGTTTTAAAAGAAATAAAGGGAGAGCAAATTTCTCTTTGAGATTGTCCTGAATCAATCTGTCAACCTTTTGCTTGTGAAACTCGGTGGTTGCTGTCACAGGACATCCAACTCTTCGTTTGTCACACAAGTCAGATGTTCCCACCTCAACATCTTTAAACTTACTCGCCCAACAACGCACAGTATTCACATCAACACAATCATCATAAACAGCTTGCATTCTCTGATGAATCTCCTTTGGGATGACACCTTCTGCTGTCAAGAATTCAATGACTGCATGTTGCTTAAGTCGCATTGACTGACCGTCTGCGCAGGGTTCCATACTTTACACTTTAACAACACAACCGTTCAATGCTAAGGCTTCCCGCCAAAATGGAACTGTAGAGGAGAGTCTACTGAACAAGCCAGTACCTGCCACATACAAGTACTGCAATCTGTTGAAGAGTTACGAAGGTGGAGGCATTACTTTTCACTTTAACATATTATTATAAAGATGATGATAAAGATGAAACCAGTCCTAGACACTTGGGAAGTGTCCGACGTGGGATCCAATACAACAGCCAGCAGAGTGATCTTGTCTGCTGTGGACTCATCTTGTTGTGTTTCAAATAATAACAACAATAACAACAACAATAATGGAAAAGCTGACATGATATTAGGATTTAAAGATCGAAATGCGAAGAGTCGGGCACAAGCCAGTAAAGGTGGTGCCAGTAGTGATCGGCACACTGGGTCCAGTGCCTAAAGACCTTGGCCTGCACTTAAACACAATCGGCGCTGACAAAATTACCATCTGCCAGCTGCAGAAGGCCACCTTACTGGGATCTGCAACAGCCAGCAGAGTGATCATGTCTGCTGTGGACTCATCTTGTTGTGTTTCTAATAATAATAATAATAATAATAATAATAATAATAATAATAATAATAATAATAATGGAAAAGCTGACACAATATGAGGATTTAAAGATATTAATCTATATAATAATAATAATAGTAACAACAACAACAACAACAACAACAATGTGGAAGGAAGGAGAAGGCCTGGCCCCACGGTGGGCATGAGGCAGGCCCCAGCAGCAGCTGGAGCCACTGCAGTGTCTCCATGAGGCCCAAGGAGGGAGGCTCAGCTCCTCACAGTGATAATAATAATAATAACTAGCTTTACCTGCCACGCGTTGCTGTGGCCAGCCTTCTCTCCCTCTTTCTCTCCTTCTTTCACTCCTTCCTTCATTTCCTTTTCTTCTTTCCTTTCTTCCTTCTCTACCTGTTTATTTCCTTCCTTAGCTTTTTGCTCCCATCCTTCCTTCTCTTTATTTCTTTCTTTATTTCCTTCCCACTTTTCTTCTTTGTTTCCTTCCTTCCTTCCTTCCTTCCTTCCTTCCTTCCTTCCTTGCTTGCTTCCTATTTACACCCCTTCCCCTCATTTCCGTCCTTCCTTCCCTCAACCGCTTCCTTCATTTCAGTAGATTGTGTCAGTGTACTATAAGTTTTTACCGACTGTGACGAATTGTGTGGGGGAGGCCCGTGGCTGACTGGAAGAGAGGCCCCAAAGGAATGTCAGAAGCGTTCCCCTTGGAGAAGATGGCGGCGGTGGAGGGGGATGGGGAGGAGGGATGGATTGGGTCAGGGCGGGAAGGGACGGGGCGGGGATTGGAGGGGGCGTAGTTTCCTGGGAAGGGGCGTGACCGGCGGAGGAGGAGGGGCAGGAGGGAAGGATTGCATCATTGTGGGAAGGGGCGGGGCGGTGAAGGGAGGGGGCGTGGTTTTCTCAGAGGGGGCATGGGCGGCGGAGGGGGAGGAGGGAAGGATGGCGTATGGGCGGGTAGGGGCATGGCGGCGGAGGGGGGGGGAGGGGGGGGGTCGGAGGGGCGGGGGGGAGGAGGAGGAGGGGGAGGAAGGAAGGATGGCATATGGGCGGGTAGGGGCGGGGCGGCGGAGGGTGGGGGCGTGGCTGTCTCGGAGGGGGCGGGGGAGGAGGAGGAGGGGGAAGGAGGTGAAGGATGGCGTATGGCGGGATCGTGTGGGGGGCTGAGGGTGTGGGAGTGGTTGTGTCTGAGGGCGTGTGGCGGAGGGAGGAGTGGAAGAGAAGGATTGGCCTATTGGCGTGTAGGGGTGGCGGCGGAGGGTGGGGATTGGTTGGTCGTAGGGGCGGGGAGGAGGAGGAGGGGAGGAGGGAAGGATGGCGTATGCGGGTAGGGGCGGGGCGGCAGAGGGTGGGGGCGTGGTGTCGGAGGGGGCGTGGGCGGAGGAGGAGGAGGGGGAGGAGGGAAGGATGGCGTATGGGCGGGTAGGGGCGGGGCGGCGGAGGGTGGGGGCGTGGCTTTCTCAAGGGGGTGTGGGTGGGGGAGGAGGAGGAGGGGGAGGAGGGAAGGATGGCGTATGGGCGGGTAGGGGCGGGGCGGCGGAGGGAGGGGCCTGGCTTCCGCGGAGGGGGCGTGGTCCGGCCATGTGCACGCGCCGCGCAGCTCGTGCCAGGACGCCTCTGCGCATGCTCTGTTTGTTTCTGTGATTGTGAGTTTGTTGTAATGTTGTTTTGAATTGTGATGAGTGTTGTGCATACCTTGTGGTTTGAGGTATGCGTACGCCAAGTTTGGTGATTTTTTGTCCAGGGGTTTTCGCGTTTTGCGGTCCCTAACGACGCCCTTTTGGATTTTATATATATAGATAATAATAATAATAATAGTAATAATAATAACTTTATATACTGCTCCATCTCCCTGAGGGGACTCAGAGTAGATCCCAGGTAACATCACTATACATACAAAGTAAAAAACAACATATCCATAAGATAAACAAAACAAAATATAAGCATAAAAATTGTCGCCATAACACACATATATTAAAAGTAATTCTGCCTGTTCACGGCAATTAAAAAATTTAAAAGGCCGGGCCAAGATTTGTGCAATACAGAGCCATGCCAGAACAAATCAGAAAAATGGGAAATGAAGTGAAATAGTGTTTTGTGATTGTGCGAACCCTAAATTATAAGTCCACTCCCTTTGCTTGCCATTCCTCATCCCTGGTGTGGTGGATGGATGGGCCTGGGCTTGAGCACTGGGGAGGTTTCCTCCTCTTTGTCTCGGCTTAGCTTTCTTTCCTCCGTGGGCATCTCAGCCTGCCAACCCTGGCTTCCCGCCAGCCAACCCGTTCTAATTTCTAATCTGTTGCCTAATTAGATGGCCATGACCAGGGAGCGATTAACCAGGAGCGGCCTTTCATCAAGCGTAATGCCATTAAACATGCCCATTTAAGTCTGCAACCAGGGCGGAGCATTTGAAAGGGGCCCATGAGGGTGGCACCGCAGAATGGGAAACCCAAGCCTCTATAGAAGGGGCAAAGACCTGCCAGCTCTGGCTGTGAAAAGCAACCTGCTTTGTTATATATTTGTCTTGCTCCTTGCGTATTGATATGGCAGGAAGTCCCAGTGTCATTGTGTGCCTGTTAGTTCCGTCATGGGTCTGCTGATGGGTGGCCTTTATATTTCCATTTACAGTAGCGGTGAGCAGTCTGGGTGGCTTCAGTGTCTGCCCACAGATCAGGTTATACCTTTGCTGCAATTCTGCAGCAAGAGTGCAATGTTTTTCAAGTTTTCTTATATATGTATCCTGGTTCGCTGCCAAAATGAAACCTTCCCATACTTACTTAGGCAAACCCTCGTTGGCCGAGTAGGATAGTAGGCTTGGTTGATCAAGAAAAAAATTGGTTCTAAACTCGTTTCGTATCTAGGGGGCGCCCGCATTTCTAATCTGAGAGGATTTCCCAAATTTCAAATTTCAAAATTTCGATATTTACGAAATTTCGTAAATATACGAATCGATTCGTTAATGGCGGACACGATTGCGCAATACACGAAAAAAACCTCCAAACGGGACAGGGGGAACTTCTGAAGCTTCCCTCTCCCTCTGTTGTTGACTGTTGGGGTGATAAAACAAACAACAACTATATATATTATATTATATTATCAAAAAACTGTCCAAATTTGTTGTTGTTCATTTGTTCAGTCGTCTCCGACTCTTCGTGACCTCATGGACCAGCCCACGCCAGAGCTCCCTGTCGGCCGTCACCACCCCCAGCTCCTTCAAGGTCAGTCCAGTCACTTCAAGGATGCCATCCATCCATCTTGCCTTTGGTCGGCCCCTCTTCCTTTTGCCTTCCACTTTCCCCAGCATAATTGTCTTCTCTAGGCTTTCCTGTCTCCTCATGATGTGGCCAAAGTACTTCAACTTTGTCTCTAGTCTCCTTCCCTCC